GCAGCTTAGGGAGCCACTACGTGGCCAGAATCAACAGCTCATAACGTCGGCTAATAGCTGGCAGCGGGTGTGGGGGCTGGAGCAGGTTGAAAATATCGTGGTAACACCAAGGGACACCTCATCGTTCCACGTGATACCTTATGTACTAACCATCAAGAATCCTATGTAGTAATATTCCCCTCCTCTCTTAAAGACACGATATTAACGTGTAGATTGCTCTTACAAATCTCCACAAAAAAAAATTTATTGGGTTCGAAGATTATTCTCTTTCATGTTTTGTATATTTTTAATAAACTTATGCTTCAATCCACCAAGTGGCTATTCTCTTTTTTTAAGGTAATTATTGTGATACGAGCACAGTGCCAGAAAATCCTATATTTGTATGAACACAGAAAAAAGTTTATTTGAACTAAGAAAATTTTACGGAAGAACTACGTTTTTTTGGGGCAAAAAGAAATTTTCTAAAGACAAGAAAATTTCTTGACTCAAGGGGCACAACCAGTTTGACAGCCTAAAACAAAGGCGATTTTTGGAAATTAAAAAAAAAAACTACTGTATTAATTGTTTTGAAATTTCATCGCAAGGATATATTTATACATATTTTGATAATACACAGCAAAATTTTGGAAGAAAAAAATTAAATATTTATCGAGTTACACGTGATCTCCGATGGCGCACGGAGAGAAATGGATGGTAGATACCACTATACCAGTATGGGCGAGAACGCCATACAGTATGGTATCGAAGATTTTTGTCCATTATTAAACTGTACACATAGATGATTCGACCATGCGGGAATGGTAAAATTGGCGATAGTTATCGCGGATGCCGCAATGCTAGTATGGCCGTCAGGCCCATACTGGCTTGCCGTATGTACAATTCTTCTGGCAGGTAGACCTAGCCAATATTGTGATTTTAGCTACAATATTATTGGAGTAACAACATTGTTTATTTAATTATAGATGTAGGTTATGTCCGAAATATATTATATAAATAAAAAATGATATTAATTATTTCATGACATGATTGTTTTTTTTTTATTTTTACTCTGATATGAATTGATTTTAGTGAAGAAAAATAACAACAACAATCAATTAAAAAATTACAAGAATTTATGTGTCTTATTAAAAATATGAGAAATTATTTAAAAAAAATAAAAAATTATATTTATTAATTTATTAGAGTCGATTTGTTTTAATTAATTAAAATAAAATTTCAAGTGTGAATAACTAGGCCAGTGTCAATAACTGGGTCTTTTACCTTATATACACTGATAGAAGGATTTATTAACTATTAATAATTTAATTTATTTAAAGACAATTATTTAATTTATTAAATTTTAATGAATGTTTTTTAACATTTAATAAATATTTATTTGGGAGGAAAGTACATTGATGAATAGTTAATAATTATTTATTTATTAGTTAACAAATATTTATTAACAGTTGATAAATATTTTTTTGAGTAAATTTGTTTCCCTTGTAATGTCATATGATATGAAGATTGTTTATAAACAAAAATCATCTTTATAAATTATTTGTATTAATTATATTACATTATATTAACGTTTATTATAAAATACTAAATTCAGTAAATTCTATTACAGCTAATAATTATATTTTATATTTTTAAATATTGAAATCGTTAATTTATTTAGTGAATTGAATTATTATCATGTATTTCAGCTATAGAATCATAAGAAGTATCAAAAGAAAATTACTATTTTTGTTTTTTATTTTAAATAAATATTTGTTAACAGTTAACAAATATTCATTAACCATTAATAAATATTTATTAACTGTTAATAAATATTCGTTAACTCTTAACAAATATTTATTAACATTTAATAAATCGTATTTAATAAATAATTTTTTAACTTTTAATAAATATCTATTAAATCCTATGATGTTAAAAAATCATTTATTAACAGTTAATAAAGCTTATTAAATAAAAACAAATCTTTCCGTCAGTGTTGTTTTGGTGGTAACACAAGAGTTTAATTGCTTAACACGCCAAAAATTATAGCGGGAACCGCTAGTACCCTTGCGTCATCAGCAATATAGTATGGGTCTCAGGACCATACTGTCTTGCCAAGCCTGCTATGCATACGTATAAAAAATACAATAGCATCATTACTATACTACATAGTAAATAACGCCATACTTATGGGACTCGTTACAATACTGAATCGCAATATTACACATACTATTTTAGTATCGGTCTGGAGACCATACTGACATAGTGTTAAACGCCATCCATTTCTCTCCGTGTAACTTAAAAAAATTGATCTTTTCTAGCTTTAAGGACAATCGAGACGGTAGCTTATCCACCAAAAATGCATTTCCAAAATAACAAGATCGATTTAAAGATATTGAAGCCTCCTATAACCTTTTCATTTTGCGCTCTAGGCGTGCAATAAAATAAACTGCCGGGCGTTAGAGTTAAGTAGCGAAAATCCCTCGGAAAAGGTATTGTTTACGGTATTACAGTTGCTCCTTTCTCAATTCTCTTCTCAAAGTTGTTTCGTAATATCAATAGTAATATTATTTGTTATTTTATATGAAAAAGTTTTAGTTATTTAAATATTTTTCAACGGTTAAAACAAAAAGCGATATAAACTTATGGTAGTGGTGAATATTTCTCCTCGGGTGAGTTAGATAAAAGAAGACTCGGTTTGAATGATACAAAGCGAATTGTCAGAGAGGTTTTACGTCTATACTATGTATATTTATAGTATATATATATATATATATATATATATATA